TCCCTAAGCAGAGTGCACTAGCCAAGCTCTGCTCTTCAACATTTCTGTTTGGGACAACCCCATTATGGTACCCACCCTTACCTAATCCCTAACCCCTTATCTTTACCTTTTTCCATACCCGTACCGATCCCATTCCTTTCCCACCCTTATAAAACCTAATAAAATACTTTATAAAAAAAACAAAGCCATCCCGGAACAGATGGGCTCTAGAAATCCATTTCAGTCATCCTGGGCCAAGAATTCCTTAAAATCACAACTCCAAAAGGGAACTCACTTCGCTTTCAGGCAGTAGTAACTGACTGCCTTCCTAGTCATTTATGGGTAAGTACTAAGAACTGGATATGGATTATTTGAAAGATAATTATTCCCAAGTTAAACTTGAACCAACTTTCTGATCTTCAAGGATCATTCTTCAGAGTGCAAAGGACAAAACATGTGAAAAGTATGCACAATCCTTCATCACAATATTCTGATTCAGTCTGGAAAAAAAAAAGATTACTCTGGTTAGGATAGAGGCAACTAATCCAGAATGAGCACCTGGTCTTGGAATTGAACATTCTGCCTAAGAAGCACTACAGAAACCCTAACCTTAGAGAGCAGTCCCAAAAGAGGACTCCTATACTTAAAAATAGAAGAATTTTCTATACATTTCCATCTTTAAAACCTCTTCCAAATGGCCATAACCTATGAGCCATAGACACAGCATCATGTTGTCCAAGCTAGCATTTGTAAAAACGCAAACCAGAAACAAAAAGAAATTATATATTTCTAAGATGTTACAGTGGTAATAAAATTATTACAGACAATGCTATGAAGCTGCAAAGTATCAATTCCTCTTCACATTTTTGGTCCTAGAACAAGGCTCAGGTTTCAGGAAAGCTAAAATTCATGTTCTTCCAAACCAAGAGGATCACCTCTATTAATCAATCAAGCTGAACAATATATGAACCATATTCTGGAATAGCCATATTTGGTTTTTAGATATTCCCCACCTGCTACCTATATAATATACAATTTAGCTGTTGCCATTCTGTTTTGTTTTACAATAACAAAGCTGCTATTCTCTAGACTTAGAGACTATAGAAACTTGTATGTGATCACGTCTACTGAAAACTCTAAATATGCTAGGCAGTCCTGCACACATGACTAAGGGTATGTTCAATATCTCACAGATCTTTTACTAATACTTGAATGGAAGATGCCAAGTGCATTCCACTATTTGCATTCCACTATTTATTTTCAATGCCAGAAGTTTCTGCATTTTGTGCCCTGAAACCTCTGTCTTCTGCCCTATGGTTTTACTCATATCATACTTGAGGTACTACAGCCATCAAGATCAGGGGTTTTCAAACTGTTTTAGACCAAGAAGCTGGTTAAAGATAATTTTTCCAGCATTTCTAATCAAGAAGTAAAGCTCTAGTGTGCTTGCTTCAGCAGCACATATACTAAAATTGTAATGATATAGAGATGATTAGTATGGCCCCTGCACATGGATTAAGTTTCCATTTAAAAAGAAAGAAAGAGGCAAAACTCTAGGGATAGAATATTGGCAGCGGAGCGTATTATTTTGTTCTTAGTCTTACAAAACTCCATCAAGTTCTCACATACCGTCCGAGTTTTATGAAACAAAGGTTTTACTGAACTACAAATCCCAAAGTCCTGACTAAGATCACACTGGCTGAGAATTGCAATTCAGTTTCCTTTAGAAAGCAACAAGTTTCACCTTCAGTTTTTGAATAGCTCTATGGCTCCTTTCCTCTTTATTATAAGCCTCAACCTGGTCCATGTAGTCACAGAATATCCAGCTTGACCGAAAGGCATCTTTAGCATTTTTTTCACCCAAATGCCTTATTAATTTTTAACAGAAAAAAAATCCCAACTTAATCATTCCTGATACATCATAATCGACATACCTGACCAACTCCTTCCGGAAGTTGCACAAATTTCCCAGCGTTTATTAAGCAGAAAAGGAAATTAACATTTTTTTAACCAAAAAGAGGAAAGCATATATTGAAAAATAAAGACATCATTTTTGGAAGGACAAAAGTAAAACGAGGCAACTCTAATGGAAATATGTAATACTGCCAGAATCAGCAATGAATCCCTGCACCGTATTCCCTCTGAAGCTTGCCAAAATAGACAATGGTGCTCTGCCAGAACATAGGCTAGTGGTAGCCATCTACCTTTGCCCAGGGAGGGAGGGAGGGAGGGAGGGAGGAAGGAGGGAGGGAGGGAGGGAGGGATACCGACTATTCTTAGCCATGATGCCTGCTGGCAAATGCAGCGAGCCACAGCAGTAGAGGAAGCAAAGTTCTCCCAAGGCCTGACCACTAAAGAAGAGCCCACCTCGCTTGCAAAAGGGATGGGCTGCTGTGGCATGCTAGGGCCAAGGAGAGGGGCTACAATTCTTGTCTGGTATGCTTGTGGGAGGCACTAGCTGGGGTCTGGCCACAGAACAGCTCTACCCTGTCTAGGCTGGGGCTTTGTTAAGAGCTGGCTGTGAGCCAAGAGAAATCTTTTTCCAAAACGAGAAGAGGGAGGGAGTGGGAATAGCTGGGGCTGTTTCAGCAGAAAACCCTCCTAGCAGGAAAGCAGGGCTCATTCCCCTGAGATGGGCTAGAAGAACACTTTTGCAAGAATAGCCAAGCAGAGAATATAAACAGGACTGCCCCAGACAAACCAAACTGGAAAGAAAGAGGTGCTCCGGAGGGTGAGAGGCACAAAAACAAAATTTAGGGGCGGGTTTGCACGGGGAGGAGGTGTCTGGCTCTGGGAGACTTCATGGTGCCCTTCTCCAGCCCTGAGGGCTTCTAGCTCATAAAGAAACTTTCTGCTTTGCCAAAGAGCTGCAGGCGTCAGCGGTGGCTGCATTCAGCATTCCTAGGCTTATAAGGCAATTCCAAGGAGAGGGGGGAATTGTCTGCAAGCCATCCAGTGACAGCTTTGTAAGCAGCCAAATCAACCCCGAGAGGCACTTTCAGGTCAAGAACGATCCACAGTGGGTGACAGTAAGCCCAGAAACAAAGCCCAAGGTACACTTAATAATGAACAAAAGGAAACACTGAGAAAATACCTGCGGATCCCAAGGGGCGGTTGGTTACTAATCTTAACAATAAAGCAGACTCTGTGGCACTTGCTCTGTGGCCGAAACCTTCTTCATGATTTTTTTTGAGGGGGGATGTCAGTCCCAGGAACTACATAGACAAGCCCATTAGTTTTCTTAGTGAAATTTATCAGAAATGGTCCATCTTTGCTTTCTTCTCAGTACATGGAGAGACTGATTTGCCCAAAGTCACCCAATTGGCTTTGTGCCTAAGGCAAGAATAGAACTCATCATCACCTGGTTTTAATCCCAATATCAAACTGGCCCTTCATGCATTCATTATTGCCTTATAAAGAGACAGTTAAGATTTCTGCATAAGGCATGAGAAGCTGAGGCATTTAAAAAGTATTCATCTTAATGCTGTTTTGTCAAATTACAGCTGCACTGATATTTGAATTGAACATTCCCAAAACATGGTTCTTTGTAATCTCAAACCCTACTTGCCACTCAGAAAATTTTGCCATGCTGATTGGTAATATTGAGAGCTAGAATCCCAGGATATCTGCTTGGTGCTTACATAAGCAGAAAGAATTAGTATAAATAATCAATAAAATAAATACCAGAGAGTGCCAGGTTAGTAAGACCTTATTTCTACTGTCTTGTGGCTTCTCTGCCCACAGTCTCTAGCAGGAAAGAAAATCTGTAGGCTTTCCTGTAGAATATGTAAAAAAAAAAAAAATGAACAGGGAAAGTGAGAGTGGCTCCCATATATTTCATTTTGGAGATGCAGAGACTGAGCTTAGAGCGAGTAATCTCCAAAAAGATCTTCTGGAGAAGAGAAGCTGTGCATTCACAAGAAAGATATATTATGGTTTGGAGAAGATGGATTGATTATATTCAGAAGAAATATGAAATTGAAAAGTATTATCTTGCTTTTGAGTAGATCTTAGATAATTATTAATAGTTTTAATTATATTATTATTTTTGACTTAATTTGTTAATATTTGTATTGAGAAGGAGTTAAAGTGTGTTATGGTTTTGACTGATAGTATAGTTGGTTTATGTTAGATTATATTTGTGTATTATTTTGTTTTACCCTGTAATCAGCTCTGGGAAGTGGAGAAGGGGGGTAAGGGGTGGGGGGTTTATATTGTAATAAATTTATAAAACTTTTAATTAAAAAAAAGAGAGAGAAGCTGTGCATCTTATTCTTATCCTGCTACAAAACTCAGTCTTATTTTGCCTAAGTGGAAACCTCATGAATTTGCAAAAGGGAACCTAAAAAAAGCCCAAACCCAACAGCTGGAAAAAAAAACCAAGATTGATTAGCTACCAACAAATATCAGCTGCCAGTAATGTGTCAAACAGAAACTGCTGCCCTCTGGATCAACTAAATTACACATCTTGCCAACACATTTGGAACTGCAGGCATGTGTATTCATATTACCACAATCCCTTCCTGTACTGCTATCTCCACCTAGCCACATGGCAAGAGCTATTGCCACAGACTCAAAAATAGTGTGTGGGAGCTTCAAGAGCCCGATATCAAGTAACAGCCTAAATGCTGAGGACCTTCTCATTACATCATGGGAGCAATCCAAACTGGCAGTTTCCTGAGGGAAGGGCCTTGCTTGGTTTGGTGAGCAAAACACAAGCCCACAAATTGCTGTGAACATTTTAACTCCAACATTTGCAACCAAAACGATGAAGTAACACAATAACTGCAATGTCTCAATATCCTCCAAAGCAGGGCTTCTCAACCTTGGCCACTTTAAGACTTGTGGACTTCAACTCCCAGAATTCCTCAGCCAGCAAAGCTGGCTGAGGAATTCTGGGAGTTGAAGTCCACAAGTCTTAAAGTGGCCAAGGTTGAGAACCCCTGCAAAGTGTGCATGGTAGAGGGAGAAATGAAAAATACAGCAGTTCCATTAACGGGGCTTTAGATGATACTACTTACCCTGGAAATGGAGAGTGGCATATTGAAGTCCTTGCCACCCTGCAGTCTGAACCCCCATGGTGCTGGCCCATCCAGAAGAATCTTGTATGAATCCATGTCACTCATATCTAAGGGGTTAGAAAATATTAACAGTTACACAAAACAGTAGAAACAAGAAATACCTAGCACGCAGAAGAGGCGTGGTGCCAAAGGGTGAGCAAATGATAGCATGCTGCAGAGCAAGATCTTAGAATTTTGCTATTCTATGCAAATATCATTGCCCAATTACTGCACTATTAAACTTCTTCCATTTGCTCCAGAGCTAGTTTCATTCCCCATCACTTCTTCACAGAAAATTCCCACAAGGTTTTCTTGTCCAAAAATATATTGGAAGCCAGTTACTAGAAGCCAAGGTACTTCTCTTCCAAGTTGTATTTCCAACAGCCTTAACACACAGGAGTTTCCGATATTTTGGGTCAATTTACATGGTGTTTGGATCGGCTTGTTTTATATTCCCATCAATTTTGCTCAGGTTTTATTAAGTACCTGGAGTAGTTGCATAAATAAGGCTGCTACATACCTAGGCACTAAATTTACTCCTGGACTAGACTTTTTTCTTTAAAAAGAATATTTTTCACATGCATGTGTGTATGTATATATATATATAATTAAAAAGAATAGAAAAGGAAAACAATAAAAAAACAAAACAACAAAATGGCACAATAGATAAATATAGATATTCAAGCACCTCTCATGCATGTATTTACATAACTATATAGAGTACATGATTACCATATTCCATTAGAACTACTATATCCATGCATAATATACATTTGTAAGCAACTTCATAATTCCCAGTAACATCATGTTTTCAATCCATTAAGTAATTGGGGCCATAACTGCTTCCAATGAGAAAAGGCAAGACTTTTAGCAATCAGAAAGATACAGAAAATCCATTTAGCAATACAGAAAGATACAGAAAATCCAGAAAATTTTGCCATGCTGATTGGTAATATTGAGAGCTAGAGTCCCAGGATATCTGCCTCAAAGTCAACTGAATATGTGGAATGATATTTTGTCAGAAGATAGCAATTTTAGAATGGTACAAAAATCTATTCTTCTCATGGCATCTCCAACAACACTCTCCTTTTGTAATGGGACCCAATCAGGATGGAAGATCTAAGATTTAATGAAACTTTCAGTAAAGATGTTTGGACACTTTCCCACTTGTTTAGGCAAAATGGAAATCTGCCAACTCCTTGTTCCATTCAGTTTTTAAAAGCTTGGGTTAAATTTATCAACAAGAAGTATTTTTAAAAACTCTAATTTGGGGGATTTTTGCCTCTAATAACGTAGATGTCCCTGAAGCCGAAAATGGCAGTTATGTAAAGACCTGGTGCTTCAATTTATTTAACTCAATATGACTGTTTCTCCCTGCATACCTCAAATCAATCCAGTTTAAGGCAACTTCCTATCTCCCCTATCAAAATAGGATGCAACAGCACCTCCAATTCTAGAGCAGTGTTTTACAACCTTTACAGCTTGAAGATATGTGGACTTTAACACTCAGAATTCCCCAATCAGCATGTTGGCTGGGAAATTCTGGAAGTTGAATTCCATGCATCTTCAAATTGCCATAGTTGAGAAACTGTGATTGATCGATCAAGACAGACACTGTCTTTACTGACAACCAACTTCCTACACATGAATAAATTTAATAAATTTATTGATAAATTTAATGTGGAGAAAAGCGAGGTTTTTACACAGGTAAGAAAAACTAAAAGTACAAGTATAAATTAGGCAAAACCTGGCTCAAAAACAGTAATTGTGAGAAGGACCTTGAAGTCCTAGTGGACAATCACTTAAAAAGAAGATATGGCTTAGATATGGCTATCCCCTATCTCCTTACAACATAAGCTGATTAAAATCTCCTCCCTGCACTGTAAGCAGGAAAGGTTTCCTCTGAACACAAAGCCCTTCCTTTGCCTCCTCCATTTCCCACAGGCAGTGCGTTGCCTATATAAGGCAAGCATTACTGTCATGTTCCAAGGCTTGCTCATCAAGGCTGCAGCACTCACTGGGAACTCTCCCAAGTGTCAACTTGGTTCTTATTTGATCTAATAGAAATCAGGCCAAATCAGAAGGAAAAAGAAAAAATGTACTCCCACACCCAAAACGTGGCTTTCTTTTAAGGCAGGAGAGATGGGAATGTATATCGGGAAGACCAACAGGGAGGGGAAGTACAATGACCCCCAGGGGGAGGATAATGACCCCCATCCGCTCCCTGAGAAAAAATTCTGGCAGCACACTAGCTTGAACCATCCTTTCCTTGCACCCTTGGGGTGCTTCAGAGCTTGAAACATTTCCAAGAGTTTAATATCTTTTCTCCTTGGGAATCGCAGAGGAACATGCTTTGCTGGAAGAATCTGAGAGCCTAGATTTCTCCCACCTCCTCCCAAACCTGAGTTGGCAAAACATGCCTGGACGGGCAGGAGGAATGTCTTATGCCTCATAACAAGAGCTCACTCATCAGTTATTTGTCCGCCTGGTGCAAGGTTTCTACAGCATCCTCAGATTCACCAGAGCATCCCTAGCCAAAAGTACCAGGGTTCAAGAGTGGTAGCATGCTGCGTTACACAGCTCTTGCAGTCTCAGGCTACCTCTATGCTTCTCAACCTTTGTAGCTTTAAGATGCCTGGACTTCGACTCCCAGAATTCCCTAGACAGTGGGAAAGTCTTTTAGGTCTTTTTACTTATGGGGTCCTTGGTGCTCTCTGAGCTTGACTGCTTTCTTGCAGATGTTTCATTATCAACTAGGTAACATCATAAGTGCAAGTAAGGGAGTGGGGTTTGCTCTCATTTTATATACTAATGGCTTGCTCTGTCACTCTTCATGAGAGTGGACTTGGTGATTCCTTGACTGGGCTGGTGTTTAGTATTAGCTTATTTGTCTGAGTTAGTAGTTTCTTGATTGGAACATTGTTTGCTTTGTAGTTAGAAAACTACAATAATAGAGTCAGCTGTCCTTGTGATAAAACATACTGGATATGGAGAAAGGAAGGTGAATTGAGGCATTGAGAAAAAGAAAGGCTCTGTCTAAATGCAGGAAAACACTAGTAAGCAGAGAAAGGTTTTCGTACAGTAAAATTTCTGCCTTATTAATCTATATGTTTTTTTCGGGAGTGATCAAGTTTTGAAGCAATGTGTCAGTTAAATAGGGTAACATACCTACATACACCAACAGACACTGCTAGGATTTGTGTGCTAAAAAGGAAGGAGACAGGAACCACAGAGATTCCAGAAAGAGACTCTGCTTCCCTCAAGCACTCTGGCATTTTTAAAGAATAACAAATGTATTTGTTTACATGAATCTGAAATCACTTCATCGGTGTTATTCTAAACTAAACTAGCAGGCATACATATCTATACTGGCTAGGAGGAAAGTTTGAAGTGTTGAGATTAGCATTAAGGTTGAAATGAAGAAATTATATTCAACAGGCTTAACAATCTTTTAGGAGCCGATAGGCATATTTGAAATTTTGTGTACTTGTTACTAGTGTTTTCCCAAAATGGCTGTCCTGATATGCATATCCAATCATAAAACATTCATTTATCAAAAAGTAAATAAAAAAAATATTTCCACAATTCATCCCAAATGGATGATTTCCACAACCCTTTTTTTTTCTGACCTGGTTATTATAAAGAAGAATGGGCTGTAACTATCCATCATTATCTGTAAGTAAAGATAATGCTAAAGCAATTGTGGACACACTGCAAACACAAGAATCTATGAGAGAATAAATTATGACAAAGGTGTCATAACATCATCATGCAAGTGATATGATTGATATACCTCAAAAGACCTCATGATGAAAGCACAGAATTTTGTCATTTGTATTATGACACAGGTTTATTTTGGTGTCACTGTGGCTTACAATAGATACCTTTAATTGTATATCTGGATATTGTCACCACTCAGAGTAGATGGCCATAATATATTTAATACATGTTTAGGCCTACAGTCTTAAGACTTGCAAACAACGTGGAATCTGCTCTGAGCTTGATTCTGCAGTTATTTTACAGCAGTTTTCAAAATTCCCACCCCAAATGCACTGTGGCTGAATAGCAATAGCACTTAGACTTATATACTGATCCATAGTGCTTTACACTTTACAGCACTCAAGAGTGGTTTACTATGTCAGTATATTGTCCCCCAACAATCTGGGTCCTCCTTTTTCTGACCTCAGAAGGATGGAAGACTGAGTCAACCATGAGCCAGTCAGGATTGAACTCCAGGCTCTGTCCCCCTACAGCCCCCCCAAATGCCCTGGTTGCCTATCCCTGTGCTTTAAATTTAGAATCTTTCAAAAACTTAGGTCAGGCAAGGCAGAATAATTGACAGGCACTAAGGAAGTTCCAATAGAAGAGAATATCTGTAACTCCACTCCAGAGTTACAGATACTCTCTTCTATTGGAACTATGGAATTCTTGGTGCTCTCTGAGGTTGGTTGTTTCATTGAACAAACATTTCATTGCCAAAATACTACACGCATTGATGATGTTACCTAGTTAGGGAATGAAACATCTGAAAGCAAACAACCAAGCTCAGAGAGCACCAAGAACTCCACCAAGAAAGTTGACCATAGCATAGCATCTACTGGCAACCACGATGACAAGGAAATAATAACACACATACCAACATCATGAGATAAACTCTGTCCGGGTCAGAGTTCATTTCATGAGGTCAGTCACATATTTCATCACTTGCTTCTCCTTCTCGATCCCTATTAGAATCCCTAATGATCAAAGGATCCTAAAGCAGAATACAAACCTAACTGGAAAGCTAATCAATCTACCAGCAGGCATTAACTAAAAAGTAGGGAATAAGGAGAGGCTTCTTCCTTGAAGCAGAAGAGAATAAAATTACTCATGCACTATTACACTGTCTTGAAAGTAAAAACACTCAGCAATGCTGGAGTCCACTGTACTAGTAAAAAAAAGGCAGAAACTTTTCCATACATTTACCAGCACTAAAGAAAAAGTCTACCGAATTTTAGTTTTCAATATGTAGCCTCCAATTCCTTTGCAAAGTTTAACACAAAAATACTGTTATAAAACTTTTAGAAATAAAAAGAAATATTTTAGAAATAAAAAGAAATGTCTCTTCACATTTTCCCCCTTCACTTTGGGAAAGGAAAACATATCTCTTATTTCATTACCTAGCTGAGAGTGACCCAATGGATTTTTGTTTTGCACACAAATCTCTCAACTTCAAGGAAGCAAGTTCTGTCCCAGGAGATAGCATGTTTAAAATCCCTAATATTGGCAAAGATCAGAACTTTCATTTTTGCTTTTCAGAGTAAGATCACTTTGGAGTGGAGGGCAATGGAAGACATGGAGAATGAATAGGCTTTCTTTCTCTCTAACCCTGCACATTTCCAGAAGAAGTTTATTCATTATGTGGATTCAGCTGGCAGTTCTCCGAAATGGAAAGAACCAGATGAGCAATAGCCAGGGAATATTAATCCCAACCCCAACCTCATTTGGAAATCTTTTTCCTCACTAATCTTGTTTAAGATAAATGATTTAATAATGCAATAGCCCTGTTCAACCGCACTCTCCTTAAAATTAATAAAGAGTTTTGACACTTAGGAACTGAACTTTCTTTTGGTTAGGGTGTCCCTTCACACCACAGTTGATGCCAGAGTAAGAAAGAAACACACATATATAAGCATGTCATTTAGTTTATTTGTTCCCCTAGAACAATTTCTTTAAGCTATCAAAACAAGAACCCCACTGGATAAGATCAAGAGATCATTTTGCTCAGAATCCTGTTTCTTGATCGTGGGCACACAAACGTTTCTAAAACTCCATTAAAGAACAACTAGGATTCTTCCTACTGTCTTGTTTACAGAGGTATACTGTTGGTGTGGATCACAACATCACTTCCAAATCTATTCACAATCAGATTTTTTTTTTTAAAAAAAGTCCTATAGTTAAAATGCCAAAGAAGAGCTATGCTTTACCAACTTAATAGCACCCCAGCTCAGGCCCACTACAAAAGCCAGACTATATCACAGCTTACCTGGAGTTGGGTTCTTCTAAATACCGCTAGCACCCGTACAATTAAAATAATGTATTAAGTTTGAGCATAAAAATACTGTATATAAATAACAACACAGAAAGGTCCATTTGTTAGGAGGTAACCAGTGACAGAATACTACTACATACAGGAGACTTCCCCACCTTGGGACAGTCCAGATGCATTGGGCAACAAAACTCCCATCATCCATAACCAATGGCATCGATGGTTGGTGCGAGGGATGTAAGTCCAACAGACCGAAATAGCTAATTTCAGGGAAATTCACGTTTCCTCCCTTCACGAAAAGCCCCTGAAGCCACTTTCTCCTTCGGCCGCAGCAGGACCCAAAGCCCGATCCTTTCCCCGATTGAGAGGAGAGACTGCCGTCGTCTGCAGCCCCGCTCACTCCCAGAAAACGGGCGTTCCGATCCGGCAAAGGAAGCCGGGAAAGCCGGTAACATCCAGGAGCTAAGATCATGCCCATCGCGGCAGGCGCCACGAGGGCCGCGGAGCACCCCCGACGGTGTCGCAGCAACCCGGACTCGGACGCGCTTGCAACGGTCTGGCCCTCGGCGGCAAGATAGAAACGGGGCTCGGAGGGAAGGATAGTAGATGACTTACTCGGGGCGTCCGGCTCTTTGCACCTCCGGGACACGCGCCGAAGATGCGGGGTGGGGAGGAGGCAGAGAGGTCCGAGAAAGTGAGCGAGGAAAGCAAGCGGGACCCACCACCGTTTGCTCAAGGGCGCTCGCTTTGCACTGCTACGACGCGATCCGGGCTACAACCGAGATACAAGTCACGTCTCCGGACTTACTTCAATGGCCAGGCGCGCCGCCCCCCCCGTCCCGTCCCCCCGAGGCTATGCCAGAGCTCTCCCAAGAAAGGCCAAATCTACCACCTTTCCCTCTCTTCCATAAAATGGGCTACTTACCTGCCGGGCCCGCGCAGGGCAGTCTCTCCGCCTCAGCTCACGGAGGGGCCACTGAGGTTTCAGTGCGCTCGCCGCCGACGCCGCGCAGACGAGAGCGAGCCTTATATATATATCTCGCGCTCCTCTCGGCCCAGATAGAATAGCCCCGCCCACCTCACCATTCAGCCCAGCCCGAGCGCCGTTTGCTAGGAGCGCATGCGCGGCGGTGGGAAGCCCCTCCTCGGCCTGAAGGCTCCCCCTGGAGTCGCTGCTGGGGGTGATGTCGCCGGGGAGGGTGCGGCGTGGGCGCCGCCAGTGACTTCAAGCGGGACTGGATAAGCAGGAAAGGCGATCCCGTTTGGTGGAGAGGTGGGGCGCCCAGGGTTGACATTCGGCTAGCCGGGTCTTGACAACCTTTTTGTGAAGAAACAAATTGTGAGACGCTTAGGGTTGCCGTATTTGAAAACAAATACTGGGGGGGGGAGGAGGGGGCTGTGGTTACTCTTTCTGGAGGAAAACAGAAACGTTACATATTGCTGCTTCACACAATTGAGGAGTGAAGACCTCTGGATTTAAATTTAAACCATCTGTAAACTGTTTCTATTTCAAAAAAAAAAGGGGGGGGAGGAATTGTACAGAAATGCAAAAAAATAAACTCAAAGGGGAAGGATTTGAAATTCGGGGGATTGTTTCCGCAGTCCATCTTATCCTCTCCCCTAAGTAGAGTAGATTAAGCTGATGTGCGGCAGTCTGGGAAGTGGCCCAGATAGAATTAAGATTTTGGTAGAGCATTCCAAAGTCAGAAAACATGCCATATAAAGTAATCGGTAATAGCTCGCATGACCCTTGTGTTTGCAGTACTTCCCCCAGTCGATGCCAGGGTACTTCATTACACAAAACCAGGCACACAAGAGACTTCTCTTCCAAAGGGACTCTCAGCAATGGGAATGCAGCATACTGCAAAGCCTTTGTTTGCGATTTCCGATCAGGCCAAACTCTCAATCTCTCCTGAATATGGTGGAACTTTTTTTCCCTACTTGATTCTTCGTTGCCCTCATGTGCATTGTTCCAGATCATAAAAATGGATTTGATCTAATTGTTACCAAGCACCAAGTTGCTAAAGGTGCCAAATAAACTATTTTTATCTGTTGACCCTGGCTCAAATTAAAAAGGTTCATCATTAGGTGAGTAAGCTTTCCTCCCTAAATGTATGGGGTTTTGTGTACAGAACAAGCATACACAATGGCTTTGACAGAGCTGTACATACATACACAAAGCCAGCTCAGGTTTACAGCATGTAAGGCAATTACTTTGGTACAATTGAAGGGACACTTCCATGCTGAAAACAATGAGCAAGACTGGACTAGTTCCTTGCGTGAGCAAAAACTGAAATGATACATCACCATTTTTGGGATAAAACTTCTGAAGAACTTTTGCAATTTGCACAGGAATTTAGCTTTGTCCAAAAAGCAAAACTATGTTCTTTGCCCAAATGTGATGAACAATTAAGCTGGTCCTGGGTTTATAAAGGGTACCACACATCTAGTCATTATAATAGTAATAGTAGTAAAGTTGGAAGGGACCTTGGAGGTCATCTAGTCCAACCCCCTGCTCAGGCAGGAATTCAGCAGGATTCAGTTTTATGAAGCTCTCAAGGCTCAGAGGCAGGAATTTCTGTACAGAAAGTAAAGGTATTAACAAATGAGCTTTTTATTGGCCAATTACCCTAATTGCACCAAATTTACTGAGAGGAGTGTGAATATCACTTTTGCAACCCACCCATGGCTTCCCAAAGTTTTCTTCCTATTTTTTCTTACCAGAAAAAACTTAGGAAAGACAAAATCACCTGATAGTAATCTCAAAATTATTATTAGCAGTAGAAACTCTCAATTTGGATGTCCTCCAAAGCTTTCTAATGAATTTTCAACACCTCTGAAAATTACAGCTTCTCTCCAGGAGCCACAATAGTTATACTACGGTAGCTTCAAACAATTGTGATGAGGGTGGATCTCAAATATCTTTTTTGTTTTAACTTGTTGAAGCTATGCACTGCTTTCTTTTCAAATTACATCTTTGTTATGATCATTGACCAATTTAAAGTAAAAATGTAACAAAGCAAACAAAACATTGACACGAAGAACTTGTTGGCAAGATCCAGGTAAAGCTCAGCAACTTGGCACTTTTCCAATTTTGGGAGTCATTTGATGGATCATGGCACAAATTTTGACCACAGGAAGAATAGCTGCTGTATCTGTGGCTTTGTCTACAAATTCTAATGATTCTGCTATTTTGTTTTGCATGCTTACCATTCCTAGGGCAATCAGCTATAATCTTTTTTTTTTTTTTGAAGAGAAAAAGAAGTTAGTTAGAGATTTCAAGCAGCTTCATTTATTTGCAATGTTCAACTTGTGTACCCATAACTATTTCTCCCACCTACCCCTGTTCATACAATGGATTAAGGACCTTCTACTGCAGCCATTTTCAATTAGCTCTCCTCTCAAAATCCCTTCCAAGATGAAAAATATACATTCTTAAAAGTATAAGAAAAGGATACTTTTCTGTAAAAGTATACTTGTATACTATGTCTGTAAGGGTGGCCTTAGGTGTGATTTTGTGAAGAAAATCTTTAAAAGTTTATTTATAGTACAGAAAGTATTTCAGTTCTTATTTTCACAAATCTTGAAAGATTACAGGGAAAAGCAGTTTAGAGATGCAAATGAACAAAGAAAATAGCAACAACATGAAAGTAATGTACAAAACTGTAAAGCATATAAAATGATCTATAGTCCTACATATGGAATCAATACATATGGCTCTATGTACATACACACCAGTTCCATCAATATTATATGAAGGTCATCAGAGGACACTCATGGAAGAGCTAAAAGCCAGCACAGAGCCAAGAAATATTATTGGGCCAATGCAACTGCACAACTGAATAAAGCAAATCTCCAGTTGCTTTCTTTTCTATTTAAGGCAAAATGCTGTGATTCACAATTCCCAGAATAAACCGTCATGTTAGAAGATGACAAAGCTCACACTCTCCAAATTTATTACCTTGTAAACAAACTAACATTTAGTTTGTTGAGAAGCCAGTTCTTTCCAAGGAAGGTCTCCAAAATACGGTATTGTCTAATGTTGTATTTATTAACTATCCATAGGTTTTGCAGTAGGAAAGAATCTGTGATCTTGCTGCATTTGCTTCAGTTTAAACAACACCAGAAGGCAAGGCCAAGATGGCTGAGAACCATGTTTACCTTTGATTTTTCAATCCGAAATGCTGCCAAGTGTGTGGGAGTAAACTGCTAAATTTATTCATTTTTTAATCCTACCATTCTTCTAAAACGATTGTGATATATTTTTTCTTCCAAAGTTATCCTCCCACAAGGCTTGTGAAGCAGTCTAGTCTGTTCCAAAGTAAATCATTATCTTGATCTGCATAGCATGGTTAAGTCATACTGTGATTTGTTACATTTTCCCTTAATAACGATGTGTAATTTAGCTGTTAGGTATCATAAACCAATGGTTTCTGATTTAATGTTCTGAGAAACAAACTGATATGACTGGGTTTATACATCATGTTAAACAGTTTAGGTTTATTGAATTAACAACAATTATCTGGGTTCCTACAATACAGCAACATAGCAGGGCTCACACAGTCTAAAGCAAGCAAACTTAATTGCATGGTGTATGAATTTGACTAACTAGTTTATAGTGCAATGTGTGAACTTGGCTAATAAGACAGAGGAGTTAACAATTGAATCCCATTCTAAGTGGTCTAAATCTTGCTTTAATTATTAGTTTAATATTTCTGTCAAACTTCTACCAATGAGCTTTCCATTCTCCCAACTGCTGCTAAGTACTTACCTTGCCAAAAGAGCAAAAGTCTGAAAAAACTTTCAGATCTGATCAAACAGGCCAGGTTTTCTTTCTAAAGGAGATGTGTGATGGACACAGATGCCCAGTGTGGCTCTCCAGCTTCCACCATACTAGATTTCAAGCTCTGAAATCCTTACTGCTGCTGTTAGAAATATTTATTTATGAAATATATATATATATTTATTTATCAAATTTATTGGTTCCCCACTAAATTAGGTAAATATCAAATTAATTTGGCCTGCATGTCCACTGTAATGATAAATTAGTGACTTGTGGGACCTTTTATGGTAGATAATTTATTTATTTGGAATTATTATGTGGAAACTGATGACTTTGAAAGTAAATCTCAGTGCTACCACAAAGGGAAGTCTAAGCATCAGGCTGTTTTTACATGTCTACATGCAGAAAGAAGAAAATGCAGAATTCAGATGTTGGCCAGTAGCTCAAATACATCTTTTTCTAGTCTGCTAACGTTATATGCATTATATGATACTGTAGTTTAATAAGCTCAGTCCTCATTTGGTTATGTTTTTAAGGATGTCCTCTCAATTATTTCATGTATTTATTTGCAAAGGACTGGTTTCTCATAAGCCTGCTGAAATCCTCTCTTTTGAGCATGTGCAACATTCATAGAATATACAATTTTTTTAAACAGTAGTACTTGTTTTTTTAATAAAGTACATTTGGAAAAGAATGGATCTGGTAAATTAAGATCATACATATCAGTGGTGGGATTCAGCCGGTTCGCACCACTTCGGCAGAACCGGTAGCTAATTTTTTGTTGCCCAGGCCCAGAACGGACTTCCAGAAGCGGCATCCACACAGAGAACCGGTTGTTCACATATTTGAATCCCACCACTGGTACATATGTTAAAAAGCAGAAGAGAGGTAGTTGTGATTATAGTTCAGTTTAACGTGATGCTTTCCCTATAAACAAAAATGTAGGAAATGAAATGAAATGTAGGGAAATGAAATATTTAGATACCTAAACTAGTTATATTAGGTCTACTTTCATAGCATAGGTCAGAGGACAGCCAGTATGGATGGAGTACATGGGCTTCTAAATTACAAAGGGAATTACAGTATTTTTTTCAGTTTTCTTTGTTGGAAAGGAATTATTTATCATTTATCAAGAATTGGTTTTATAGCAACAATAAAATTGCTGACATCTGTTTAGTTCTTCCAGGTATTCTTACATTCCCTGTATAATTCATGGCAACTATGTACACTCTGTACTACTTTTGCAACAATCCTTCACAACGAGTTTGATTTCCAGGTGACAAGTAGCTGCGTTG